AGCAGGCAGCGCACGTCTGAGCTCGTCCCGTTGGAGAAGGCGTAGCAGCGGTGGTTCGCCGCAGCGAGCTGGTCGAGGCCGGGCTTGCAGTCCGCAAACGCCGGCAGAAGGAGGTAGGCGCCACACAGCCGCTCTCGCTCCTCCTCAGATAATTCCGCGTCAAACATCTCGCAGCAAAAGTCGAGCGCTTCGCGCGTGGCCACGGTCATCGGCCTGTAGGCATCCATGCACGTGCGCCGGAAGGTGTACTCGAGCTGCTTGGCCCGCCACATGCTGTTGAAGGCCGGCTCCTTTGCGTCGATGGCCGGCATAGCGCGCATCATGCTGCCGAGGCCCTTAACGTCAAACGTCGTGCCGTACATATCGAAAGCCAGAGTCGCGCGGCCGGACGAGCTGCTGAAGCGCCGCAGCGTGGCGCGCATGTTGTGTGTGTGGCTACAGGATGCTACAGTAGCCGGTACGAGGCTCACGTCGCTGGGCGTCGCTGGATGGATGCAAACACCAGTGTCCTAACCTATGAACAACGAGAAGATAAATCCCGTTTGCTGATAAATATATAATATATATTGTAATGGTGCCACAACTACCATCCCTTCTTGCCCGGCATAGCAAAACCAAGCGGCCGAGTGTACTCGCTGGCAACCGCCCGATTTTTATAATCCTATCCTATTATACTACTACTCGAGTATACGGAAGATACAAAGAGAGAGACCAGGTGAGCCAAAGATACTCCCCCTCCCGTCTCAGACACTGATCACACACGGGTGGGACAGGGTGGGTCACAACGAAGCACGAGAACACGACACAGACAGAGCGACGGCGCAGCGCACTGCCGTCCAGCCGCTCGAAACCCTGGCTAGGGGTTCGAGGTGGCCCCCACCCTGGCTGGGGCCTCCCATCAAAGGGACTGCGGCAGAAGACGCCCAATCTTGCACAAGAGACAAGTGCAAGAACCATACGCATCACTCTTAGGATCAATGGATGGTGCGAACTAGGAGAGCGCAAAACCAGTACGCAGTAGCAGGCCCGCGCCTGCCGCCGTGCCGCCGGGTGCAACCCGTCCTATATACGAGAGAGGAATCCCTGGGACCCTGTCGTGTGGGTGAACCCTGCCCAGCCCCCCTCTCCGTGTCGCGATGCGCTCCCCGCTCCCGTTCCCCTGTGTCCATGATCGTCCTTCCAAAATCCTGCTCGTCAAGGTGGGGAACCTGTCCTTCTCCCACCCCTCGTTTGGCGTCTCCGGTTGATTTATTTATTGGTGCGATCTCGATGGGCTCGCATAGCAGCTCAATGGTGCGCAGATAGAGGCAGGTCCCGTTACGCTTACGGGTCCGCCAGTCCGCAGGGCTGAGCAGCGGGGGGGGGGGGGGGGGGGAAGGCCATTATGGCAACCACCCTCCACGGCCGGTTGCTGGGGATGCTGCCACGGGCGGGCCGGGCCTGCCCGTTGGGTTCCCCGAGCTCCACTCCCAAGTCATGCCGGTCGCATGGGGGTTTGCTTTTTTTTGGAAAGCTCGCCCCGTTCTTTTTCGCGGGGTCAGGGGGATTTTATTTTTGCTTGGGCGAAAAACATGCCCGGGTAGGTAGGGTAAGCTAAGGTAGGTCTGGGCCTCCCCTCGGTTTTTCCCCCCTTTTCACCCCGGAATTTTCACAGCAAAAAAAAAAAATTTCCGGGGAATTAAATCCCGATGTCAAACGTCCCCCAAATGGGGGATCTGATGCTTGTAGGGCCTGAAAATGGCCTGCCATGTCACAAGAAGGACTTTGGTTTCCGGAAAATACCCCCCCCCCTCACTTTAGTTGGGATAGCACCCCCCTTCCCCCATCCAGGGATTTCTTTTTTTAGTTTCCCCTAAAAAGGGGAGGGAGGTAGGTACCCTGTTTTTAATGACCCCCCCCCCCCCCCCTGAAAACCCCCGCGGGGGGGGGGGAAACCATTGAGGGTCCCCTACCATGGGGAAATCACCCTATCCCAGGGTCAAATGCTCCAAGTAAGTAGGTAGGTAGGTAGGTAGGTAGGTAGGGGCAAAAACCCCCCCAG